GATCGATATTTAATCAACGTGCTAAGATAATCGAGTATACGAGTATATGAGTATACTAAAAAAAAATTATTTACTATTTTCAACACTTTGAAATCAAAACAACGTATAATACTATCACTGTCAATTAGTTTATGTATATTTGACTACTTTATTAAATTATTGTTTTATAATTGTTTTATAATCATCTATCATTGTGCTAATTTAACTATCATAATATTTAGAACATTATTCAGAAACCAACAGAGTTAGTCAATAGTTAACTATCGTCATGCCAACTATTTATCTATTATTATCTAACTATTGCCTTAATATTTCAATCCTTCGACTAACATTTAACAATCATTACGCCAACTATTATTACGCTAATTTATCTAAAGTGACTTATCTATGTCTATCGATTGTCGAATTGTTGTCGAATTTTTTTAAATTGAGTCATGTGATAATTTATCTGTGTTGTCATATTGTACATTTAGCATGTCGAATTTTTTAATTTTTATTGAAATTGTTAACTTTTTTTAATTCGTCTATATATTGGTTGTTGAATTGTAGCATTTAATATGTCGAGTTTTTAAATTTGTATAGAGTTAATAAATCTTCGACTAACTATCATCAAGCTAACTATTGTTATACCAATCATTACACCTTATCTATGTCTATCGATTGTGTTGAATTTTTTTAAATTGAGTCATATGATAATTTATCTGTGGTTAAATTGTTAAATTGTGGCATTTAGCAGATCGATTTTTTTAATTTTTATCGAAATTGTTAACTTTTTAATTCATCTATATATTGGTTGTCGAATTGTGGCATTTAATATATCAAATTTTTAAATTTTAAAGTTATCAATAGTTTTATATTTCAGAAACTTGTATAGAGTTAATCAATTCTTTGACTAACTATTATTACGCCAACTATCATCATACTAATCACCCAACATCATTACACCTTATCTATATCTTTCAATTATCGAACTGTAGTATTTAATATGTCAAATTTTTTAAATTGAGTCATGTGATAATTCATCTGTGGTTAAATTGTCGAATTGTGGCATTTAGCAGGTTGATTTTTTTAATTTTTATTGAAATTGTTGACTTTTTTAATTTGTCCATATATTGGTAGTCGAATTGTAGCATTTAATATATCGAATTTTTAAAATTTTATTTAATTGTCAAATATTGTAGTATCGAATTTTTTGATGAATTTGTTAATTTTTTTTAATTCGCCAATAGTTGAGGCATATATTGGTGGTCGAATTGTAGCATTTAATATTTCAAATTTTTAAATTTTTATTTAATTTTTTGATATCTAATACTGTAATAGTTGTCGAATTTGTTAAATTTTTTTAATTCACCAATAGTTGTAGCATATATTGGTGATCGAATTGTAGCATTTAATATGTCGAATTTTTAATTTTTACTATGTAATAATTGTCAAATTATAGTATCGAATTTTGTAATTTCGAGTCATGTGATTGTTGTCAAATTTGTTAATTTTAGAGATATATAGATTTTTTTAATTCACCAGTGTATATTGGTGATCAAATTATGGCATTTAAGGACTTTTTTAATTTGCCAATAATTGAGACATATATTGGTAGTCGAATTGTGATATTTAATATATTAAATTTTTTGATGTAATAATTGTTGAATTGTGGTATATTTTACAACTTTTTTTTATATTATTAGCCAAATTGTGATATTTAATATGTTGAATTTTAAAATTTTTGAATTTTGATATTTTATATATAGGCTTTTTTTATATTGATGGTCGAATTGTGATATTTAATTTTTACTATGTAATAATTGTTGAATTATGATATTTAATATATCAATTTTTTTATTATAATTAAATTAATATAATTAGTATCAACTTTATAATAAGTTTAGTAAATAAAATTTAATTTAATCTATAAAATTCAATCAATTGAATTATTAAAAAATTCATCTTAAATTTAACTATTAAATTTTAATAAAATTAAGATAATTAAGTAACTAATGATTAACATATACTAACTAAAAGATAAAATTAAAATTTGATATAAATTCGAGTATTTATTATATTAAAATTACATATAAATTTTTCTATTAATTGGTATGACAGCAATATATTCTTTTGAATTTTTTTTGTATACTAGTTTATAAGGTCTAGGTACAAATCGGTTTAAAATTTGGTGAACTGGTATTATACAATCATGACTAATTGGAAAAAAGTCTTTAGTCCAAAGTTCAATATTGTATAATCGGTTTTCTTCCTCATTCATTTCAAAATAGAACCTTGTAGAACTATTGGATGCTAGTTTATACTAACACACAAATACTAGATTATATTTTAATTTTTGACTGTTAATATTTACTGTATGTCAAATAAAATATTGTATTTGGTCAAGATATATATCAGAAGAAGCTCCATCTTGATTAATAAAATTTCCTATTATAAAGAAGCTTCTTGTATGCCGAATTGACATAGTTAATCCAAATACTTCTGAACCAATTCGCAAATAGCCGAATTGGTCTTCAAATAGATTAATTAATATTAAATTTTCATCTCTAATGCCACCGAATAGTATCTGGAATGAATGTTGAGGATAGGATACTGAATAAAACTCCAATAATATATTTAATATATTATCAGATATCATTATATGAATTTTTGAAAGAATCAAAAATTCTTTAGGAAAATCTTCAGCACCACTAACTGAACTTGTTTCAATGCTTCTTGATATTTGAAAAACCCTTTGTAACTCATCAGTTTCAAACTGGTCTGATGCTGCTAAGCTTCTAACTGTTTTTCTTACTAAAAGCAAATCAAGCTATCTTGCAGTATCTGATTGATTAATTAGATCATTAACTATAGAGTCTTGCATAAACTGGCGTATTAATTCTGGTTCAATTTGTCGATAACTATTCAAAAGTGAACTAAGGTAGCTATTCATTTTCTCAAATGAGAAGCATCAAAATATATAAAGTGGTCCATAGTCAAGGCAACATTAATTAATATGAAGTGCCAGATGAAGATTTGGTGTAATATATTTTTTACCGTATTCTAATTCAATTTGTTTAATAAAAAGTATAAACCGGTTATATGCTTCTTCTAATACAGATATATCAATAATTTGACAGACCAAAATTGTACAAATTCGTATAAAATTTGTAAGAATTCTTTGATCTAGTACCGAAAGATGATCCTACAGACAGGGTGTTGCGTAAATTAAAATGAATGCTTTCTATTTATCAGAAGTAAATTAGCAAATCCTTCACCACAGTCTACTTTTCTTGGAATTCAGCCAATGTCAGATGGGACCTGAATTTCTGATATTTTTTTTTTGAATTTGCCTTAATTGGCTTGTATTCAACTTTCCATGATTGACCTACTGTATAATCATTTTACAATCCATTTTGCAATGCCTAAAAATAGGCAATATATTGGGTTAATAGCCAAAAACCGAATAGGATTAAAATATAGTAATCGAAGTAATTCAAACCACTGAATATGAGTATGGTTTTCATACTATTTTCTATCTGATTTAGTAAAGCACCTTCGCCATTGTTCAGTATCTTGTCAATGTTGGGCTAAGTCACATTCAATAAACCATGTATCAATATCATCTATACCTTCAAAATAGTGATATTTATCCTTATATTGTACTTTCTTTTCACACCGATAGCAAGATACTAATACTGAGGTATAGCCACAAAGTTTTCGAGCTGCAGGTATATCACATGAACATAAAATTAATGCTGCTCAGATTATCTTTTTAGATGTGTTTTTATAAATTGATATTTAAATACTATCCCAAAATCAGTGTAGTTTATTAACAATTAATACAAGATAGTGGTTGATTCGATATAGATGAACTTCATTTGGATCTAATAAAATATCAAGAATCATTATATTTTTTGCTTTAAATCGAAGTTCTCTTAGTAAGTTAGAAATAGCCATATAGATTACACCAGTACTATACTGAGTGCTATCAAATAGCTAAAACTAATCCAAATTTAATATAAAGCCAAGATGTGTATCTGCTGATTCTTGTGTAAAAAATCAGCCACCAATTGATTCTTTATTGCAAAAATTTTTTCAAATTTGACCATTATAAATATCAGAAAGAATGCTTTTAGAAACACTACAATAAGTCTATTTCCATCATAATCAGAAAAAATTGAACCATATTTGACTATGTAGAATAAAAAATCAAACTATATTTAACCTATCAAATTAAAGCACGTCATAATCAGCTTTACAATAAAAAATCGAACTACATTTGATTTATCAAATTAAAGCACGGTATAATCAGTTTTACAATAAAAATCGAACCACATTCGACTTTAAATCAAGTAACAAATTAAAGCGCGTCATAATCAGCTTTACAATAAAAAATCGAACCATATTCAACTTTGTAATCAAAGCATCAAACTAAAGTATATTATAATTAGTTTTACAATAAAAAATCAAACTATATTCGACTTTATAATCAAGTAGCAAATTAAAATATGTCATAGTAGAGTATAATATAAAAAATAAATTTCTTATAAATATGCGTTATTTTTATAAAGAAACTGCTTGTTGCTTATTATAGTAACTTATTTGTTTACAAACTACTACTCAATCTCTCTCTCAATCTCTTTAATTTTCAATCTTTCAATCTCTCTTTTTCTGTCTCTTAATCTCTCTCAATCTTCCTCTCTCTTTCTCTCAATCTCTCTCTCTGTCTCTCAATCTCTCGCTCTCTCTTTCTCTCTCTGTCTCTTAATCTCTCTCTCTGTCTCTCAATTTCTTGTTCTCTTTTTCTCTCTTTGTTTCTTAATCTCTCTCTTTGTCTCTTAATCTCTCTCTCTTTCTCTCTTTCTTTGTCTCTCAATCTCTCTCTCTCTCTCTCTCTCTCTTTGTCTCTCAATCTCTCTTTTTGTTTCTTAATTTCTCTCTCTGTCTCTCAATCTCTCTTTCTGTCTCTCTTTGTCTCTCAATCTCTCTTTCTCTCTCTTTTTCTCTCTCTCTGTTTCTTAATCTCTCTTTCTGTCTCTCAATCTCTCTTTCTGTCTCCCAATCTCTCTCTCAATCTCTTTCTCTCTTTCTTTCTTTTTCTGTCTTTTAATCTCTCTTTCTTTCTCTCTCTCTCTTTGTCTCTTAATCTTTTTCTCTCTCTCTCTCTTTTTCTGTCTCTCAATCTCTTTCTCTCTCTTTCTCTTTTTCTCTCTGTTTCTCAATCTCTCTTTTTGTCTCTTAATCTCTCTCTCTGTCTCTTAATCTCTCTTTTTGTTTCTCAATTTCTCTCTCTTTCTCTTTCTGTCTCTGTCCCTCAATCTCTCTTCTGTCTCTCAATCTCTTTTTCTAAAATGTCTTGAAAACAAAGTACAAAAGATATTTTAAAAACTATTAACCAAGATTCATTCAATTTGGCTACTCCATTATCATCTACTTTGACCCATAGGACATATATGACTATTAACTGCTATTACCAAAAATATAATGGCAAATTAGTTGATCCTTATACAAAAAATTGACATTCTTTAACTACTAGCCAACAGTTGTCTTAAACAGGATTTAATGAATTAAGGCAACCAATCCAGATTGCTTCAGAATTAAGTGGCCTAAGTTAACAATCGATAACAACAATTGATTTAAAGTCAGATTATGAACTTCAATCTGGCTCTGATAATGAACTTCTATCTAGTCTTGATATGGATGATTTATCATTTTTACCAAGAAAACGTTATTAAACAT